CCAGCATCTCCCGCTCGGCCGCGTCTCCCGCCCGGCGGCCCGTCCGCCCCTTCCTCCCGCACCCCCACGGCCTGGCGGCTGTTCCCCTAAACGAACAGCCGACTCGTGCGCCACGGAGGTGCCACGCGTCTAAACGCTGCCCGGCGCCCAACTCACTACATCGGCGCTTGCAGCCGTGGATGTGTCTGGACCTTCCCACCACCCTTGAGGGCACGCTCAAGGTGTGCAAAGCTCCCGCGCCAGGGAAGGCTTTAAGTCAGGTGGTGGATCTGGGATCCCCGCCGTGGGAGAACCGTATTTATTTTAAAGCGTGATCAACATTACCAGCAGCTGGCAGAGTGAGGAGGAGCGCTACTGGGAGCGAAGCGGGTGTCCAGGGGTCCCGCTGCTGCTGAAAACACAATCCTCTCACGGCCCAGGGAGGTTGCATTTCACTGGGACAACAGTTCTCACATCAAAATGAACGTGGCACAAGAAAGGGACGTCAAGCCTTTACACGGTAAAGGTTGCCGTGACAGGCCAAGGCCGTACCGCTCAAGGCAGCGAAGCCCACCTTGAATGACACTGTCAGATGCCAGTTTTGGGATACCTCTGCCAGAACCGTGTGGTATCTGGCTCTTCTCACACTGATCAGAGCCTGGGTGCCAGCAAGCACGTGAGTCTGTTCAGGAGCCAGAGGGGAGGCTGCGAGCCAGGCAGGATCAGCCAGGCAGGATCAGCCAGGCAGGATCGGGTGAGCCAGGCCACCAGGTGGAACATCAGGGAAGGACAAGGGTGACAAAGACCTGAACTCTCACATAAGTTTCATGCAGCAATCCAGTGATGGCCCTGATTTGTTTGGAGGAATACAAAGCTGAAGTTAAGGAATCGCAAACTCCCTCCATCACTTGGTATAAGACAGCCTGGCCTTCAGCGAAGTCAAGAAGACTGACACAAGTGTTTTCCGATTACAGTACTGATTTGGTAGTAATAAAGACTTTGGTCCTAATTTCTGCTCCAATCAGAATCTAATTGCATCTTTGTTTATTTTTATTTTCTTATGTGCCAGCTGGGAGTTGTCAGTCCGCCAGTCTGGGTCTCACACTACCAACAGGAAATACGTATGCCTCACCTCACGCACACGGGCATTCATGCATCTGAAGTTAATGTATGCATCTTTAATTATATGATTTGGAACTTAATGGTAGTTACCATGAAGTATTCCCTAGAAAACAAAGATGATAAAGGTATTACGTGATTCTATGCGTATTTTTTGAAGGCATTGGTTCAAAGTACAGCCTCAAATGTAACAAAATAATGTAAAAACTGATAATAATCAGTTGATTTTTATGTAGGATGTTTAAATAATGCATTTCTAGAAGCTCTCTGTAGCAAACTTACTGCTCCTATTCTAATTTCTTACACTAATTTTAATTAGAAAGTAAACACCCCTATATTCATGGTAACATTTTTCCTTAGGTTCCAATTAATTATTTACTAATATTTATATTTCAAATACATTCTGTGTGTATACACACATGCATAGGTAGAGTGCATGATGGGATAATGTGGCACAGAAGCTGCAGGTTTTGTGTTGTTACATGTATTTTGGATTGTAAAACTTAGCCTAAAATAAAGGTTAAAAGTCATCATTACCCACCGTTATAAACATGTGCACATATATCAGTAGATTAGAAAGGCAAAAGTTTTACTTTGCTTTCACACATCAAACATTTTAAGATGCTGTTAAATAAATAGACAAAACCAGTAAGATGCCATTCATACCATTTAACGTTTAGAAAATCGATAAACTGGAGAGTCAATTAAAAACGTAAAGGAGAAACTGATCTGAAGCCAAATGGAGACCAAAATATCAGCCAAACAATATTGTAATGATTCTTTTCACTTTGCACTCAAGAACTGGAACATCCTTTTCAAAACCAATTCATGTAACTTGTCACTTCACTTCCACTGCTTTTTCTTTACTTTTTTGGAACAAAGGACATTCCTAAACATTTTTTGTGTTTATTAATAAGGGCCAGAAGGCTATGAGAACACGAAGGAGATACACTTTCACTCCCTCTGCCATGCCGTATATAAGTGACTACCAAATATGCAGATTAGTAGTGGGGTCATCTACCCCTTTCTTCCATTCACTTAAACAAATAGGATTTTCTTGTTCTCTCAAGATAGCTCTTTGACACCATACAGATGTTTAAACTATTGTTTAAATGAAAACGAACTAGAAATAGCTGACTTTTTTAATGCATACCTTTCGAGAGTGGTCTATCAGCATCTTCTCAGTGGAGAAAGTTAAAAACTGCAGCTACTTGTGGCCCAGTCAAATTTACTTTTTAAGTGGGCTGCTGCAGTAACAACATCTCATATGAAGGCAATGAAGTCTTTTACGCAGCAAGTAAGAAAACTGTTTATCAGTCATGAGGAAACAAGTTGTGGTGTCGTTCATGATCTGAAAAGCAGTTGCATTTTCTGGGTGGTGCTCCAAGAAGCTCCTTTGCAGACACATGTCTACACCTGTTGCAAAGGGCTGACAAAGAGCAACATTCAGGACAGATTCTTTTTTTCATTCTCTGAAATGATTTCCATTAAGGATTCATAATCAGCATATTCTTTCAGAGTCTGTATCATTTCATCTAGCATTTCTTCCCCTAGCATGAAACACTCAATATGATGCACCGATCTGCTTATCCTGTGGTCAGTAATCCGGTCCTGTGGAAAGTTGTATGTTCTGATCTTCTCCGATCTTCCTTTAGTCCCAACCTATCAAACAAAAAGAATCAGTTTAACACTGTTGTCTTTTTATAAAAAGGATGAAATATTGACTAAGCATCTAAAGCTAAAGCTTTCTCTTCCTCCCATAATAATCCAAAGTTTGTTCAGACCTGTTCAGTAGTTGCAGTAATTGTTCTCAAACACATAAAAGAACAATTTTACTGTACCTTTTTCTAGTACTATTCTGGTTCTTCATGCCGTAATCCTTTTTTTTTTTTTTTTTCCACTAGATGTCTAGAATTTACATACTTCTGAAATTTTAAGTCTGGCTAATATACAACCTTTATTGCTGAAGCAGAACGTTATTTTTTTTGCCTCGTGTAAGTCCTTCCTGAGCTCCCAATCCTCTGTATTCTCATTTACTGCTTGCAGTTCAACACAGGAGTTACCCCCCCAGAACATGTGCTCGGACGGAACTGTATCTTTGCTAAGTGAAACTTACTTGAATCTTTCGAACGCTGTTTCTCTTTTTGGTTTCTTCTTCCAGTTTGGCATTGTATAGTTTAGCACATAGCATTTGCATAGCCTTCTCTTTGTTTCTAATCTGAGATCTTTCTTGCTGACACTCCGACACAATCCCTGCCAAAAATATCATGACATTGAAGTCTTAACAGTAACACACACTAAAAAGGGTTTGCCATTTCCACAAGATTTTTATGAAGTTATGATAAACTGTTATTTTCTTCAATACATATTTTAGTCTGGGTATGTAAAAGTCCAGCCTTATTAATGTCTAATGATACATTTTGGGAGACAAGTGCAGGCTGCTGAGTTGTACAGGTGCTTTAAGCCATAAGACAAAAAATTTAATTTGATATGTTGGACAACAGGTCGATAATGAAATAAAAGATGTGATGTGATCTGCCTTACAGAAGACACCTTTAATAGGTGTTTTGGCCACAGTTCCAGGAAATTCATGATTTATGAGTGATAAAATACACGAGATAGTGAGTGTATAGAACATGATCAAATTATACAAAAGTGGGCATGATTTTCTTTAAAAAAGGTGTGGTTTCTCCTCCCAAAACACCCAATTCAAATGAGAACGAGAAGTGAACAGCCTTAGAAAGGAGTAGGGAGAAGAAATACAGGAAGAAGACAGCACAAACTAATTTGTTATTTGGATTTATTTTAAACAACTCCAGTAAGATTACAGTATCCTTTTGTAAGATTTCATACTATTACTTTATGAAAGATTGGTTTACACACTGCATTTTGGATCACAATGAATGTTTATAGAAAGATTGAGAGGAATGAATAAGAATCACAGAATGGTTTGGGGTTGGAAGGGACCTTAAAGACCATCTAATTCCAATCCCCCTGCCATGGGCAGGGACAACTTCCACTAGACCAGGTTGCTCAAAGCCACATCCAGCCTGGCCTTGAAGACCTCCAGGGATGGGGCATCCACAGCTCCTCTGGGCAACCTGTTCCAGTGCCTCACCCCCCTCTCCATGAAGAACTTCTTCCTGATATCTACTCTAAACCTCCCCAATTTCAATGTAACCCCATTGCCCCTTGTCCTGTCACTACAGGCCCTTGTAAAAAGTCCCCCCCCAGCTTCCTCATAGGCCCATTCAGGTACTGGAAGGTGCTATAAGGTCTCCCTGGAGCCTTCTCTTCTTCAGGCTGAACAAGCCCAACTCTCTCAGCCTGAATGAAGAAGGGAAAGGTGGAATAGAAGAAGTCAGGAGATAATGTGAGGTATGAAAGCCCATGTAAACCATCCCTAGTGCAGAACCACAACTAAAATTGCAATACATTTTAAGATTTCTAAAAAAACACTAAAAACTGCCTTCAGCAAAAACTAAGATCATTTGCTGGTTTAGTCTGTGGGCTTTTTTTTCCAAATATTCAGGCAATACAAAACTTTTTTAATCTGGGGTACCATTTTGTCACCGTATCTTGAACAGAATTCTATCCTCTCCACTGTTTAACTTCTGCTTTACTGAGGTGATGCAATAAGTGCAGAATGGATCAATGTCTTCGATAAATATGAAGAAAAGGGTGGCAAAAGTCTGGATACGTGAAGATAAAGAGCACTTGGGATTACCCTGAGGCTGTAAAGACTGACTAATGCTTGTGATAGAGAAGAGGAGAAGTTAGCAAGCAATGAAAGTCAAGGCAGCTGTTGTGGATTGCTCAAAGGAAAGTAAAAAGCTTAGGAATGGCACGATAGCTAAAATCAGGTAGCATTTGAGGGTGTATCTTATCCCTCCTACACTTCCTAACCTGAGCACTGGGGATGGGTCTCCTAATTATGTCTGTAATCTATGGGAAAGGAGCCATCAGACATATGGAGGCTGGTATCATGAGTAGACTCTGCAATTAAAAGCAACATTTTAAGATGGAAATAGAGCAATCTCTCTTTTGGAGACTAGTCAAGAAAAGGCAAAGCATTGGATTCTAACCTACCCTGCTTTTCAGTTTCTTTTCCATTATTCAAAAACATAAATAGAACTTTTTTCCCACAGAAATTGATCTGGAAGCTTTTAGAGTGTCATGCTTAATCACCAAGTGGATAGTTTACCTCCTGAAGCCAGTAGTCTTCACTACTACAGACTGGAGTGGGCATAAGCTGGTGCATTTAGAGTACCATAAACACACACGAAAACGATTTGAAAACTCCAATCTACTCTTGCCCAGGTTTGACAATAAAACCATTGTTTCAAAAGACGTTCTGACAGCAGGTTTGTAACACAGATCTTGTACTAAAGAAAAAAATGAAGCACCTGTTGGAATATGAACTATCCGTACAGCGCTGTCTGTGGTATTGACATGCTGGCCTCCAGCTCCACTAGCCCGCTTCGTTTCTATGCGCAGGTCTTTTGGATTAATCTGCAGTCTCATCTGCCATGGGAGACAGAACACCACCCCCCCAAAAAAAGAACACATTTATGTTGTTTCTTTCTAAACACATCAAATACGCACAGTTGGTTGATTTTATAAGGCACACTCAGGCAAGATCAAACTTTCCAAAGTTTATGAGTGATAGCTCACATCCACTTGCAAATATATTAACAAATCCTTGTAGCCTGATTGGAATGAGACATGATGGAAGCCAGGAAATAATACAAATAATAGCTTAAGGCATAACCACCCCTTAGTACTAATCTTCTCCCTCTTCTGAAAGTTCTGCACTCTGTTCCAGCAGGGTTAACCAGTACTTGAACTTGACTGGATGGAATGGGGTGATTTTCTCTGGGAGGAAGGAGCGAGGCAACTTTGGGAGAGAATAGGAAGGAGTAACATCTTTGACAATTTGCTAAGTCAGCATGAAATAAAGATCAAACAAAGCTTTAATTCCTAGCCAGTTGTTTTTAACCAAGCAAATATGGAGAGAATTAATTACTACCCATACACTTTGGAAGGGGAAAGTGAAGATGCTACAAATATGAGGAAGAGGAGGTGCTAAAAGAAATCTCTGTGAGCTCTGTAAACTAATTCAGTCTTTTTTTACTTTGTAAAAAATGTAAAGTTTTCCATAGAACAAGCAAGAGACAGCCTCAGTGAATTTTCAGCTTATAGTGAAGTAAACTGCCAGGGACTTTCTCAGGATTAGGATTATGAGAAAATACAGAAATTCTTTATTTCACCCCCCTAGACAAAATCAATATAACCCAAACAAATATGACTTAGTTTAAAATGAAGATTTAAAGAAAAAATCATTAAGAGAGAATAAGAAGAGAGACAGAAAACACATGGGCATCAGTAATATACGGCATGTAGAAACACTGCTCCCAGTAAAGTCTGTTATACTAAAAGATAAAATATTACCTCGGTGGGTTGGGGTAATATTGCAACAGTCATTGTGCTGGTGTGAATGCGTCCTTGTTTTTCTGTCTTTGGCACTCGCTGAACTCGATGCACCCCTCCTTCAAATTTCATGTACTTGTAAGCCTCAAGACCTGCTATACTGGCAACTGCATGCCTTAGGCCACCTTAAACACAAGAAAAATGATTGCAGAGCTGTAAGAAAAACTGTTGGTACTTTGCTGCTGTATTTCAAACAGCATATTTAGACACTGCCATTTGTTTCTTAAAATTATTAATCTACCATTTAAATAGTCAGGCATAGTTATATCGAAAATGTAAGAAAACTCTTAAAAACAAAGCCAGACATTATACTCACACCACTACCTCAAGCAAAAGACTGTCAAATTCTTTTTTTCATAGAGTTCAATTTAATTTTTTATACACATAAGAAGACTTTCTACAAACCATGTACATACATATATACATACAATCATAAACTATAGTAGAACTCTCACACCAGTAATAAGTTTACATAAAGATCAAATTTAGCAAGCCACCTTCAGAAACTATATAAATTTCGTTTTTATTGTCAGTTCAGAAACTTATATTCAGTGGGAAGAAACCTGACTCTAACTTAAGGATGAGCATTATTCATGCTCTTCCTATCCAGTCTCCTCTACGCAACCTACCCAAGTCTCGTTTTTGCTCTTTCATTTCATTTCAATCTTTTGCTTCCATGGGGCGAGCCCAACTCCAACTCCTGGCCCTCTTACTAATACGTCCAGGAGAACACTTGACAGTAGGGTACTAAAAACTGGCACTGAACAGCTTCGAACTTGGAATTAAAGCCCAATACAATGATAGTTTCATGACAGAAAGTTTGTTGCAATACTAGTTTATAGCATCCTTGCTCTTCTGTGTTTGCTAGTGTGCAAACCCTTCAGCTGTGCCAGTGTAACTGTTTCAAGGATCAGAGAAGTGATGGCACTATAAATGAATGTAATTTTTCACCCATTTTGGTTTTTAATCCAGCTCAGTTCCCAGATCCCATTCTCAGCACAGTGGATGGTGTGCCAAGGGAATGATTAAAGAGGAGATAGGCGGCCTTGAAAGAGTATTGTTGGTGAAGTCTTGCAACCATGAAACCACACCAAGGAAAAGAGGCACATATGTCTCAGGAATACTGTTTTAGGCTATCTCTAGACTAAGGAAATCAACCATAGAGACAAGATATTAGCTTTTTAAAAAGGAAAGCTCAGGAGCGATGCATCCCAA